GCAGAGCGGACTCGGGCGCTGAAGCGGCTGTCACCCTGGCTCACCTGCAGCTGTAGGACCTGTTTCTCAAAGGCGGCCGCCTTGGTCTCCAGAGCCTTCCGCTGCTGTTCCTCCTGCCGTGCGGCCTCTGACTTCTCCACCAACTCCTTGCTGACCTTGCTGAGCTCCTGCCGGAGCTTGGCCAGCTCCGCATTCTGCCTGCAAGACAGTCACCAGCCCCAACTGACGGACAGAAGAGGGACTGACTGGGTGAGCTCTCGCCAGCCCCGAGGGCTCCCCCTGGGTGACAGGGCCTGGCAGGCGAGCCTTCCGTCTGGGGCACGTGCTCTTTTACAAGTGGTCACCCACATCCCAGAGCCACTATCAAAGCCTCTCATATTGTCGGTCCTATGGGCTTTGATGTGTGTTGGCGAAGACGTTCTTTTGCCAGTGCCGCGTATGGACCATACAAAGAGAAGAGCAAAATGTGCCCTACAGTATCCCACAGGAACCCCGCCCAGAAAGTCAGAGAAAGTCAGAGAAAAGGCAAGACACTCCTCTTCTCATTGCTGATCTAGGACCAGACAGGTCCCAGATGCAGGCTAACTGGCCTCGACACCCCTGCAGGGCTGGAGTCCATGCGCCCCACTTCCCTGGCAGACTGGACCATGGCCACGCCTGGGGGCCACCAGAGGTGGGAGGTTGAGGCACTTCACAAAACAGACTGTTGAACACTGCACAAAAGCTGGATCTCAGGACCGGCGACAAGCACAGAAGTGAAGGAAGGAGACTCGATTGAAAGGAAAAGAAAGACAGCTCAAGACCCGCTTTCCCCAGTGCGAGCAGGTGATCGGCCCACCAGCCTCATCAGTTCAGAAGACATCTCTCTGAGGCAGGACTGACTGTCCAGCCGTGAAACAGTACTCGGCAAGACAAAGGGGACAGACAAGACCGCCCACAACCCTGTACAGTGGTGTCACACCACGTGGAGGCCAGAAACCTGGCTAGGACCAGCTGCACTCTGCTGGCTGAGGGCCAGGTGGGTCCCACCTCTCTGCACTTGGCTTTTCCCACCTGCACCAATGTGGCTGTCCCAAAGGCTCTCTCTCAGCTCATGCTAAGGCCAAGATTCAAGACCGGAGGGCTTACAGCAAAGGCTAGATTCCAGTGCCCTGGGATAGAGACGGGAAGCTGAGTGGGTGGCCCCCTGGGACTGCTCTGGAGCTCTGGGCAGGGCCCCGGGACACCCACCCCACGCAGAGCAGAACTTCCACAAAGGGAGTCGGTGGCCACCGCCTCAGGGTGACAGGTCTGTAGCTTTATGGCTTTCCCCGGGACAGAGGCCGCAGTGGATTCTACATGAGCGGAGAAACCAGAGTTCCACTGTTACCTTCTGCTTGTAGCTGCTGAGGAAACCACAGCCACCAACCTCCAGCCTGCTGACAGGCCAGGGCAGACATGAAGATGTGTGCACACGCACACCCAGAGGAGGCCTCCGCACAGAAGGCACCAGCCTGGGGAAGGTGGCCGTTAGCTCACACTGCCCCGGGGGGCCACCGGCAAGACCAGACGCATGGGCACAGACTCCCCCTCCCCGGTCCGGCTCCTGGGCCAACCTTCTCCCCACTTGACTTGCAGCTAAGGGACAGAGGGTACTAGCGCCCTCTACCTTTGTCGGTTCTCCAGGCAAGAGGGGATGCTCTGGGGATAATGCAGAGCCTCGGAAAGTCCCTTCTGGATGCTTCAGGCCAAGAGAGGGCAAGGAAATGTGAATCAAAAGAAAATGTAGTGGGGCTTCCTCTGGGCCAGCCTGTTGAGACTGTAAATGCTCAAATCAGGAAGTCAGAAGAAAGCCACGCTGCCCTTCACAGGGTGAGGTCACTGTTGCCCTCCAAGGTCGGCCCCCTACTGGACTCACTAGCCCTTGGAACTCCTGATGGGTGATGCTGAGAGCAAGAGCCCCCCTGAGCAGGCCGGGCCGAGTGCCGTGAGGCAGGACTTACTACTGCAAATGTCCCTTCCAGCACAGGAGATCTCGTCTCCCGGTGGAGAATCCAGGGGCTCAGGCCCACGGCGGGTCCCCACACCACCAAACTCTGATCATGGACAATCCGCTAACCCCCAAAATTCTGGGTCACCATGAGAAGTGTTTAAAGACCCTACATCGAGATCCTGTGAAGACAGACGTGGAAAAGTACGTGTTCCCCCGGGAAGGCAAGATGCCAGCACCAGCCAGGACCTGAGAGGCACCCAACCACGTGGACACTGGGCACGGACAGACCAGACCGGGGTTTGCTGGCTCTCCCTGGCGCCTTGACCACGTGTGAGGATGCCGGCCACGTACTGGAAGGCTTGGCCACTCACAACCAGACAGGGGGATGGAGTCTCAGGCCAGAGCCCTGAAAGGGCAGGGTCGCAAGTGCACAGCCAGCCCCCCGTGCTCACTCACGTGTGGGGCCCATGCCAGGCTGCCGTGCCAGCCCCACATCCAGCAAGAAACTAGAATCTACCTGCAAAGCCTTGAGGCTCGGACACCCTCCCCAGCTCCAGAGCCTCCAGGAGAGCGCCCTCACGGTGTCTGAACGGGGGTGCTGAGCTTACTTGCTCTCCACCTGGCTCGTGGCCTGATTCAAGGCATCCCTCAGGATGGAGTTCTCTTGCTGCAGACGGGCCAGCTGTGTGTTGGGGCCATTCTCCAGTTGCTCCTGAAGAGTCCGGATCTGCAAAGTCAGCGAAGGGGCATCAGAGTGCCTCTTGGCCTCATAGAGAGCCGGCTTTGGTGGGGAGCGAGGTCAGTGAGGCCCCAGCCCACAAACTAATGCACCAGAGGCAGGGTGACCCCCTGCATGTGCCCCCTCCCTTCCCTCTGCCTTACGGTCTGTAGACTCCAGGCACTGTGTTAACCGCCGTGACACCAAGCACATAGCCACAGCCTACAATTACCCCAAGGAAGCCTGTTTCCTGATCTCTGACCTCCCGTGGCACATCCCAAGCCAAGCAGCAGGGAGGTGGCCATGGCTCACCATGAACAGAGCACAGGGCTGGGGAGAAGGCACGGGGCTCTGGCCCCGCAGGCCAGGCTGGGCAGGAGGCCCCCGCTGGCCTCGGGTAGCTCATGCCTCTTGTTTCATGGGGTCCTCCCAAGCACAAGCGGAGAGGGCAGAGCCAGCATGACTGGGGAGTCACATGGAGGCTGCGAACTTGACCCACGGGAACGGAGGAGACGGAACACGGCACCGGCCACTTGGGACCAGGCTGTTTTCAAAAAGTGTTGTTTAAAATCTATTTTATATCTTCCTGGCTGCTGACGTTCACACACGCGTGGTGGGCTGGCCACGTGAAACGGCCCCTCCCTCCAAAACCAACCCGATTCTGAAGCCAGCTCCCCCACCCTGTGGGGAGCCATGTGCCCTCTGGGGCCCCCGACCCCACCCCAGAGCCACTGCCCACCTTGCCCTGTAGCTGCTGCACTTCCTTGACGTGCTCCCGGTAGCTGGCCTGCATGCGCGCCTGCACGGCTGTGATCTCCTGCTCCCGGGCCACAAGCTGCTTCTTCACCTTGGCCTCCCCGGCTGCTGCCTTAGCCTTTTCTGCTGCCAGCTCCTAGGACACAGCAAAGGGCACAGAGGCAGTCAGGCCAGGGCAGGAGCTTGTCAGACGGGCCCAAGGTCATCAGAGCCCAGACATCGCCTGGGGCTGGGGGCTTGAGACCCCCTCCCCCTGAGTTCCCGGACAGACCAAGCCAGCCACAGCAGAGAACCCACAGGAGGCAACGAGGGATCTGATCCCTGGAAAACCCTGCTGACCTGACCAGTAGGAGTGGATGTCAGACCTTGGCCATGTGAAGGCAGCGGACACAGGAAGGAGCTATGTAAACAGGACATGCTGTCTTGTGCTCTCCAGGACTATTGGCTCGGCCCTGCTGGGGCTACAACACCCTGGCTTGGCTGGGTCTCTGACATCCAGGTCCTGGAAGGCCCACTTCTACTTGAGTGCTTCGTGTCAGGATGGAAGCAGCAGTGAGCCTTGATGGCTGAGCCACACGGAGGGCCCAGGTCTCCACGTGCACCTGATCAGTCCTCCCTCCGCAGCCCAGGGAACATCTGCTCTGGTCAGTGTCAGATGCCCATGACGAACACAGGATGCTGGGCCTGGGGACCTGAAGCCTCAGGCATGGGCAGAGCACAGGATGGGACAGGCTGGTCAGGGGAGAGGGGCTGGCTGGGGTCTGTGTCATTCTTGGAAGAATGGCAATGGATGGAAGCCACAGGGGAGCAGAGAGTGACTATTCGAGAAAGGGTGATGCAAACAAGCCCCTGGGGTGAGGATGCTCCCTGTCCAGTGGGCCTCCAGCTGGGCTGGCAGAGCCTGGTGTGGGCCCAGCTGGCCTGGGGGACCACGGTGCAAGCGTCTCCCAAGATTCCAGGCCCTGTGCCATCCCGGTCCTGGGCAGGAGACCAGGGAAGTGGGAAATGCTCTCCTTCTCCAGGCCAGGGATGCCAGGGAGAACCACCCTGAAGGGCCAGAGTACCCCCTGCACTTCCGTCCCTGGGCTGGGACAGAAGCAAATCAGAGGCTAGAGGAGGAGCTAGGCTGACGGGGTAGCCGCTGGGTGCCAACGCTGCCTGTGTGCCCGGCCTTCCCTGAGCCCACCTGGGACCCCTGGCCTCACTGTTCACACAATCCTCTTCCTGGCTCTGCCCAGGGTGAGAGCCCACAGGAGCCCGAGGTCCACGCTAAAGGACACCTCACTGATCATCCACCGGAGCCGGGAGAGGTGGCCAACACTGTGCTCCCACTCTGAGGCAAGCAGGCGCCTCACTCAATTCTGTCAGTAAGATGGGGATCACGACCCCCATTTTAAAGCTGAGCTCACTGAGCCCTGGGGAAGATATGATGGTGTCCAAGGCCGGGAAGGCTTCCTCTTAGCTGTGTGCTGGCCTTGGGCCTTGGTGGCCATTCGCTAACAGGCAGCCTGCTAGGTTAAGTCAAGCAAGGTGGCCAGAATCACAGGAGACAATACAATAATAGGTAATTGCTTTGGTGATGACAACCATGGCATTGGGAGAGGAAACTGGGCGTTCTGGAAGGCTTCTCGCAGGAGGGAGGGAGGGAGGTCAAAGGAGTCTTCAAAGATAAGGGGAAAATCTCCAGCCAGCCATGCAGTGAAAGGCATTTGAGGATAAGGGAAGAGCAGGAGGAGAGGCCCAGGGGTGGCAACAAAGGGTCGGCATGTCAGGGGAGCACATGGGGCAGGACCGCAGGGGTGTGGGCTTGGGTCTGAAGATTAAGACCCACTGGCAGAGCTTAAAGAGGGACCTCACAGGACCGTGTTAGCACTTGGGAGCCGAGGAGGGTGCAGGGAGGGTGCGGTCAGAGGAGCGGGGGCCTGGCTGGACACCTCGGAGCAAGATGGGTAACGAACACCAAGGGCTGTGTCAAGCGGCCACCACTAGGGTGAGCAGTAAGTGTCCAGCATGAGGGCTGCATTAAGGGGCCTCCTGCAGGATGCACTCCCTGCTTGCACCCACTGCCCTGCCCACGGTAGCCAGAGACCCTGGGCATGGGGAAGAAACAGGCCACTGGGACTGGCAAAGGTTGTACCTCCTCACTCCTCACACCTCCAGCCCACCCTAAAGTCAAGGGGGCAGGCACGGAACTAGCCAGACAACCACACGGCCAACCAGCCGTGGGGACATTTGCTCCATTTCCTCTCCCCTGACCTTCATTCTGGGGGCAGACAAATGTCACAGGGAGTTCTCAGTTTGTCCAGAAAGAAGATACAGAAGGATGGCTCCCCGAAACCACAGATTTGACCAGTGCTGGCCTGCTGGCTCCTGGGGGTGGGAGGGCACTGATTCACGGTGCTGGCCCTTTTCTGTGGTGCAAATGCTCACGGCCATGGCGCACCATTGGCCGAGGCAGAAAGAGGCTGCGTGTCCGGCTCCTGGGGGCAGGGCGAGCGGCTCCAGCCAGCCTGCATTTCACCAACAACTCAAGACGGGCTCACGTGAAGGCTGCACGTGGACAGTCTTGACAGAGGTGATGAGGCCCAGCGGGCAGAAGGCTACTGAGCTCTAGGGAAGGTGCTTCTCCTGGGTGGACCATTAACCAAGAGTTACCACCCAAAAAGCTCATCTGCTCTTGCCATCTCCACCAAATGAACTTCACTGTTTGGCTCAGGGCTGTGTCTCTCCAACTGAGGTCAGAAACTCAGGCTGCCTCGTTTCTGACTATTCTCGAATGAGCAGGTGGAGGTGCCCTGAGGAAGGGCTGTGGCCCAGACCACATGGGACATCCCCAGTCCCAGGCCATCTCCCTGGGCCCGCTGCCCGGACAGAAGGGGGAAGTAAGCAGCAAGAGGGCAAGAGCAAGCCACAGAATTCTGCTGGAAAGAGACAGCTTTCAAACTGAGTGCAACTGGCCTCGTGGGACCGCGGCACCAGGACTTACTCCTCAGGAGAGAGGCAAGGACAAAGCTCAGCGAGTTCTGGCGGGGGTGGCCCCTTGCGCTTTCAGGGTGAATACCCTAAAAAGATGGCCTGTCACTGTGGGACCAGTGGTGAGGTTCTGGCCCATCCCCATCAGAGAATGAGGGCCCTAACCCTCTATTTAACGTCCATGCGCACGTGTTCTTCATCATGGAGGGGAGCTGCCACCCCGCACAGCTACCCAGGGCCATGACAGGTAAGCCAGCCCCAGGCTGTCAGGCTCTCAGACAGCAGAAGGCCTTCCCGTGGCCACAGAATCCCTGGTGTGAGAGGCAGTCCCAAGCCAGCAGGCGCGTGCAAGGAGTCCAGGTGGGAAGGCCGGCCGGTGATCTGGGGACAGCGCTGGCCACCGCTGGGGGTGCTCAGGACAGGGTGTGCGCTCAGCCGTACCTTATTGAGCTCCCTCAGTTTGCTCTTGGCGGCAGCTGCGTCTTCCTGCTCTGTGGCCAGCAGCTTTTCCTTCTCTTCCAGCTGGCGTTTCAGAATTGCCACAGGGTCGCCCTTCTGAGTGGCCTGGAAGTGCCCATAGAGCAGCGTTAACAGAGGGGGTGTGCAGATACCTGGTGTGCCCTCCTACCCCAGCAGTCAGACCCTGACCCACGACCAGAGCAGGGGCCCGGTCCTGTGGGATGGGGCTTCTGGGTGAGCAGGTTCTAGCCTGACTCCACGCACTTCTGGGGACAGGCACCCCTGCCTCAGCCACCCAGTCGGCCAGGTCTCTAGGCCCACTGCATACAGGAGCTGTTTGGACCAAAAGCTTTGCATCTCTGCAGTAGGTTTTAGGAGGATGGTGCTTCCCATGAACTTGGGCCAATGGTGGCCAAGGCCTCTTCCTACCCCACTGAAGGGCAATTAGTCATTGTTTCTGGCCTGGGGCCCACCCCTTAGCTGCTGTGTGAGGCCTGCAAGATGCCTCAGGAGGCGAGGTGTACTCTGGGGACAGTGGCCTGAGGTGAGTCTGGGCCCGTCTCCTTGGAGGAGAGGTCCTCCCGACCTCCAGTCATTCGCACGCCAAGAGACACCCTTCCCTCCCCCAAGCTCACTGAGCACAAAGCTTCCTGTGACTGTGGGACGTGCCACACCTTGGCGAGAGTCAGGAAGGGAGTAAGCCCTGCTGGCCTCAGGTCAGGAGTCACTGGCCTGGCTCTCAAGACACCCCCCAGCATCACTAACCACTAGGGTGCCACAAAATTCTCCAGCAAAATTCCTGGAGTTCTGACTCTGGATGAGGAACAAACACGTGCCAGGCAGCATCTCCTGGGGGCAGCTCATTCGCCACAAGAAGTAGAGGGCAAGTGCCGGCCTCTGGACTGACCCCCAACAGCAGGAGGGACGTCAGAGAAAGGGGCTTCCAAGCTCCCCACTGTGCGTGTCCCTACACCTTCTTTTCTGCACCCGAGCCCTGGCCACAGGCCAGCCGGGCCCCAGCGCCTGTGTTCACCCCCCCTGGCTCACACAACACAGAGCCCGGCCCTGACCCGTAACGGTCTTCCTGTTTCCGTGGCTGGGCTGTGGCTGGGCTGAGGCAGAAGGCAGAGTGTACTCGGGGTGATTCATGCAATCTGTGTCTGGGAAGGGGAGGCAGGGTGCCGCTGAGAGAGGCCAGTGGAGACTATTTCCTGAACTCTGTGCACATGGCCAGCCCAACGGCGTCACTCAAGGGAGGCGAGGGCCTCAGGACTTAAGGGGAGAGCAGGGAGGGCGGGTTTACCTTATGCCAAGTGTCCTGGATGACTCCAGCCTTCTCGGACAGGATCTCAATGAGCCGCTGGGCCTCACCCTCGTTGAATACCATGCTTCCGACTGTGGAGACCAGAGTCTTGTAAGGGAGGTAGAGAGGACTGTCGGAGTCCGGTGGCGCTGTGCAGGGAGAGAGAAGGAACAGGAACTTACCCTCCGCCCCCAGCAACCAAGCTGGTCACACCTCAAAGCAGCAGGGGCCAGACAGCCGACCAAGGACTCTGTCCAGCTGCTTGGGCTGTACGGGCTGAATGCGAGCCTGACCTGGGTACCCTGAGCTCTTTCAGAGTGCTGAGAAACGGCCCAGACTTCAGGTCCCTGCACAGTCGTCCCAACTGCCTGAAGAGAGCAGAGGGGGAAGGTCCCTAAGTAAAAGAAAGGCTGTTTTCCTAGGCTGGGGGAGACATCCTCACTGCCCCCCTTTTTATCATCAAAATGAGCAGAATTAAGCAAGGCAAACCTTCCCCAAAGGTGCTTTTCCTTCCCTTTTTCCAGCCAACCGCTTGGTCCAGTTCCAGCCCTGCACAGCCCTGCACAGGCGGGTTCACCCGCCTGCGGTGACCAAGCCCCATGGCTCCTCGTAAACACGGACCCCACTGCCACAACCCTGCAGTCACTGGAGAAGGATGGCAAGCAAAGGCCGGCATCTCTAAGGCTGCTTCTCTGTGGCCCCAGGGAAAAGGAGGCTCTTCCCACACATCCAGGTTCAAACACTGTTTCCGGCTTCACAAAGCCCGAGGCAGGTTTTAGGGGAGGGGAAGCTGGGCTAGGTTCTTTCACAGCGGGCCTGCCCACTTGTCAGTCCACGAGTGACTTCCCAGGAGGCACAGAGTCAGGTGCCAACAGCCACCTGTGCTGTGACTTCTGCAGTGCTCCTGAGGCTCCCCGACACACACACACTCACTCAAGGCAGGCTCTCGAGTGGCCTTGAATGCAGGAAAGGGTGAACTGAGACACCCCATCCGGCAGCAACCCCACCTGAAATGCTCTTGAGATGACATGCCAAGGCCCAGAAACTCCACCTCTGCTACAACACTCGCCCCAAATCAAGAATGAATGGAAACAGGTCGCGCCACATGGCAGCACCTTCATAGCCCCTCACTGAGGACAACGCACAGGGAAGGTTTCCATAGCAACCCCAAATTCTCTGGCCTGTCACAATATTTCACTCATGTAGTCCATATCTTTCGCCATCAATCAGCATTTAAGTACAATTTATAATGAGAACATGGGATGTGGGCGAGCTGGTTGCTATGAGCACCTTCATTGTAGAACTTCTTACCTCGTGAGGCTCGGGAGATTAAAAATAACCACGGTGACGTTCAAGGCCTAAGAGCTCAAGAGTGCCAGAAATGAGCGGGGTGGGGTGCCTGAAAGACTGTTCTTCAGCCTTTCTTTTCTTTTTTTTTTTTTTTTTTTTTTTTTTTTTTCAACGTTTATTTTTTTTGGGACAGAGCATGAACGGCGAGGTGAGAGGCAGAGAGACACGAGAATCGAAGACAGGCTCCAGGCTCTAGACCATCAGCTCAGAGCCCGACTTGGAGCTCAGACTCACGGACCGTGAGATCATGACCAGCCTGGACGGTTGAGATCGGACAGCAACTGACTGCGCCACCCAGGCGCCCCTCTTTTCATTGATATATGTATATAACACAAAATCATCTTGATGGCAAACTTAGAAAAACCACTCTGAGCACCGCTAAGCCAAAAACAAAGCAAAGACCGCTCTCAAGTTCACTACTAGAAGAAGACCGCACCAGTAGCATTTTGGTTTCCGGGGTCCCTGACCTTCCCCCTCAGCCTGCAGGCAGATGCAGGTTTTCCAGAAGACGGAAGTCCACTATTTCAAAGACACAGTTGGAGCTCAAATGGACAGACGTTTTCCTTTCCTGACTCGGGAAATGTCTACTGTGCTGTCCCAACAGGCTGGCCACCAGTTACGTGTGGCCACTGGGCACTTGAAATGCAGCCAGCGTGGACCAAGCTGTGCAGCAGGTACAAGTACACCCCAGTTTGAAGACTTGGTAAAATATCTGTAATAATTTTCTGGTATCGACTGCATGTGGAAATGATAATATTTGGGGAAAATTGGGCTAAATAAAATATATCATTAAAATTTAATTCTTTGTTTTTTGTTTGTTTTTTTTTCACGTAGCTGCTAGGAAAGTCTGAATTACACATATGCTCACACGGGTGGCTCACACTATTTCTACTGGACAGGCTGGTCTATTCCTTTCCAGCCCTGGGGACCCTCCAACCCCCCAAAAGTATGGCCGTTGTCCCTGCAGAGGCCTCAGACTGCGCAGGGGCTCGGGCATCTCTTGAAGCCTCTCCTAGACCATCCTTCTAGGCCCCCATAGTCCCTACCACATTGCTGGGGGCGGGAAGGGGAGACATTTAGATAATGGAGCCAGGCTTTGCTACGGAGCTCTGTTTCCCCACAGATGTCATCCCAGTGGTCTTGACAGACCGTGTTCCCTCTTGGATAGCCAGGACACTCTGCCTGCAGAACGTTGCCAAGAGTATTCTGTAAGAGTATCATTCTAATACACCTTTATTCAAACTTTCTAACCTAATTGTATTTTATTAGATGTTTTAGCGAACAAAGTAATGAAAACTTGAGCAGGTGCAACAATCCAAAGCTACACACAGCACAATTTAACTCTCCCCTGCCTATCGCCCGGTCTCCCCACGCAAACTTCCCTGGCCTTCTCTATGCTCATATGAACACTATCTTTTAAGGTATTTTTAGAGAGCCCCAGCTTTACACTTTTCCATGAAGTCGTTTAGGTAAGAATGGTGCCATCTTTGGGGCGCCTGGATGGCTCAGTCGGTTGAGCATCCGACTTTGGCTCAGGTCATGATCTTGCAGTTTGTGAGTTCGAGTCCCACGTTGGGCTCTGTGCTGACAGCTTAGAGCCTGGAGCCTGCTTCGGATTCTGTGTCTCTGCCTCTTTCTGCCCCTCCTCTACTTGTGGTCTCTCTCTGTCTATCAAAAATAAAGAGAAAAAAAAAAAAAAAAAAAAAATTTAAAGAATGGTGCCATCTTTATTTCTCCCAAATCAGGGGAAGTAAAAATGAAAGAAAAAAGTACTTGGAAGTAGGCACCAGAACTTCTGGACCTCCGTGTGAACTGCATTTGCTTCTGGGTTTCAAGATCCTCTCACCAAACCAGTGGCACTGAGCTCACTTGGATGCCTGTTCCTGGGAGGCGGGCACCCGGGCCACAAATCACGTGCTAACGGGAGCTAACTTGGGCCGGCATGTTACACATCTCCAGCAAAGACTCGAAAACTGGAAATAATCCCCGGCGTTGTGAAATCTTAAGGCACTACACTAAATTTGTCAAAGACTAACATCTAATCTGCTAAACCACTGACATCACGAAGACCATGAGGCGGTGAATCGTAGTGAGACCAGCTCCTGAGAGCCTGCCCCTATAGTCTCTGCCTTGCCCACCTTGGTGAGTTCTGAAATACCAGGAATGGACGAGCAGGGAGGCCTGGAGGAAGGTCACAGCAAGAGAGCAAAGAGCGGAGAGACAGAACAGAGATAGAACCGGTGCCTCACTGCTCTGGAGTAATCCAGACCTGCCCGGCAGGGGACACAATAAACACCCCCAGGGACCAGGCCCTGCAAGGATGGCACAGGTCTGGCTCAGGGGGCAGCCTCTGGACATGTTCCTTCACCTCCAGGGGATGGCTCCTGTGGGGTCTGGGCCAGAACCCTCAGAGCTGTGGACTTGCCGAGGAGAACCGGAAACGAGATTTGTATGTGTCACCTCCTGACCTTTAGTGCTGACAGCTAACTCAAAGAAAAAGAAATAAATAAAACCTTTGTGGGGCTGAACAAACACATCTGTGGGCCAGGTGTGGCCTGCAGATCACCTCTGCCCCTGGGCACTGGGCACCGCGGTCAGAACAAGGCCCCTGAGTCAGGCGGTCTGGGCTCAAATTCTGCGAGCTCAGCTCCTTCCTGCCTGTGCGTCCTTGGGCAAGTTGCTTCACCTCCCTTGGCCTCGGTTTCCTCATCTGCAAAATAGGGGTCATAATCAATCTTTCCTCCTTCCTAGCCTCACTGCCAAGATTAAATCCCAACACGTTTGGAACAATGCCCGGCACAAAACGCACTGCAGAGTCAACCAACAGGGCCACCTTCAAGCAAGCCCCAGTCACAGGACCGTCACAGGACCGTCACAAGCCCCGACCCCTCCCTAAACAGACAGCGCCCACCGGGAAGGACACAGGGGGGGCTCTGCCCTTTCCCCCACTCCCACCAGCGGGACGGAGAAGTCATGCAAGGGTGGTGCCCAGAAGCCAGCCCTGAGGATAGAGCAACACAGCCCACGGACCCTCTGGCTCCTGCCTGGCACCCCCGTCTGTACCCTCTCATGAGGCTAAGAAGGGCAACAGGGTTAGATAAAGCAAGGAGCCCTCTGCCTCCTGCAGCCCCCAGCCAGGGAGCATGCGGCACTGGGTAATGTGTATAACACCTCAAATTCCAAAACCATGCGCCCTTCTGTGACCATGCCGGGGGGGTGCGGTCACCTAAAATCAAACTTGTCTTGCCAAGAGGCACTTAGGAGTCCCTCTCTCCTTGTCGACCGCAAAGTCCTTTCGGGAGAGTTTTGTCTTTACATCCCCACCAGGATCCCCTGCGGCCAGGTCTCAGTGCTAGGGAACTCGCGGGGTTCCGCGGCCCGGCACTATCACAGCCCCTCTAGAGTCCAGCCCGGGACCGCTCCTGCGCGGCTCCAGAGGACTCGACCGACAGGTCGGTGCTGACCACTGCCCAGCAATGGGAGCGGGTGGCCACCTTGGCCCTGGGACAGCCCATCAGGTGACCGCGGCTCAACTCCAATGGCCGGTGCAGGTACCCTGATGCAGCCCTGCCTGGGGCAGGCAGGTCCCAACGGTCTCTAGAGACACAGAGTGTGCTCGTACCGTGCACCCGGCAGTCAGCACACCACTGGGGCTGGCAGGGTTAAGTCAGAAACTGGAACTGCCAGTTGAGAGGCAGAGGAGACACAGGACGCCCGGCAACCATGCAGTAGAGCCACAGGAAGGGAACCCAGGGAGGACATGCTGCCAAGGAAGCGACGTGGCAGCAGTGGCAGGGGA